CTTGGAGGAGGGGTAACTTCATCATCGGAAATAACGCGCCTCCTAACCCGAGGCCTGCGCACTAAAGAACCCTCTTCATGTTCTTCTTCACCCTCAGAGCCACGGGAACCATCAACTTTTCTTTTCGATGAAGAACTCAAAATTCTCTCTTGAGAAAGAGATACAGAAAAGTCTTGTAAAAGAAATAGATGCGGGACTGACACCATGAATAGGAAATCCTAACAAAAGAGAGAAGTTTGGTAAGAAGCTCCTAAGCCAACACAAGAGAAGAAGAGAAATTGAACAGAAAATGTACCGTGTGTTTTGACATTCCAACCAAACCTTTGAGAAAAGTACTTCCAAGACCTTCTCTCCATGGGGGCAACTGACAATAACTTTTCTACCCAAGTACAGAAGTTAGGAATCTCCTCAAAAACTTCCATGGTTGCTGAAAAAGTAAGCACGAGATTAAAAGTTTCTTGTTTCAAGAAAGAAAAGAAAAGGTAAAGGAAAAACACTTACGTGCAAAATTCCACTTTTCTAAAAGGGCATATTCTCCTCACCCACCAAAGCACTTGTGGGAGCAGCTACAAAGCGAGCATACCAGCCATGGTCTCTATCATCCTCGGGGCTAACCAATACCCTCTTGCTTCTGGCCACAAGTGAAAACACCCATTCATAAAATAATTTGAGGGAATAAAGATGAAGCAAATGATGAAAGGTGAAAGGCAGGGAAGCCAAGTTAGATAGGTAACGAAGGCATGCAATATCCTTCCAAACAATGGGACCAATTTGTCCCAGGCATACATTAAAGAAGCGGCAGAATTCAATGATTACTGGGTCAATGGGTGGTCTAAATCGTAAAGTGAAAGGATATGTATAAATAAAGGAATAACTAGCCTGATATGACGTTATTCTTTGGTTTGGATTAGGAACTAAAGCTGGGAAGTCAGGTTTTCAGTTACATTCTCTTCGAACAAGAGAAATTAAACCAGTGGTAATTTGAGTAGGATAAAGATCGGCACGATCATGAGAAGCTAAAGAAAAAACTTGATTTCTTATGGTTTCTCGATCAAATGAGAAAGAAAATTCCTGTGGAACAATTTCATCAACCGTTGGTTCACGTATAGATTCACTCAATTCCCTATTTCTAGAAGAAGATCTAAGGGTTAAAGAATCCTTGGGTTTAGAAGAAGAAGAAGTGGGAGTAGTAGTTTGAGATGAAGAACCACGAGTGGACATCGAACCTAAACTACGAAGTCTGCCTCCTCTTCTACTTCTCACATGAGCATATGAAGGAGTAAGTTCATCAACAATTACGACTTTGCGAAGGTCAGGAGTTGATGAAGACGTGGTTGTATAAGGAATAAACAGAGGAATATGAGTCGAAAAAAAAAAGGAAGAATAAAGAAGAAGAACACTGTAGAATGAAGGTTTCGAAGTATGAAAAGCCCTAAAAATGCTGAGAAGCCACAGAACCAATCATCAAAAGCCACGAGGCATATGCATTAAAAGGAAGTGACATACGACGCGTTAATTCTGAAGAAAGCACAATGATGCTTGGGAAGCGGCGGCAAAGAATTCCCGCTATAAATACATACCACTTACCGAATATTCAATTGTAGAATATTCAGAAAGTGGATGGACTATTTGTGTTGGTGGTAAATAAATGATATACGTGGAATTATATTTAGCTGACAGAGCATGATACGTGGAACAATGAGAAAATGATAACTGGCATATTTTATTTAAAAGATGTATGAAGCGCAAGAGGTACGAGGCAAATACCCAAGAGATAATGAAGAACCAACGTTCGAACCTAAAATAATTGCTGAAGAGGCACGGGCGGAATGAATCAAGACTGAAAAGAGGAAAGATTCACGAACCTACAATTAATGAAGAAGGGGAATCAGAATCATTACAAAATCTTCATAGACAGTTACGATTACCAATCATAATGGACAATTAATGTCATTAAAGCTCATAATGATTCCGCAATAAATAGGAGAAAACGTTATATTTGTAAACTCCTATATAAGGGAGGGGGGAGAATCTCATTTGTAAAAACACATTCTGAGTACTATCGAAATATATTCACTTTCTCTTGCTTATTCAGTGCAATCAATTATTCTTTCTTTTTAGCTACTTTTTGTCAACTTTAAGTGAATTACTGAGGAAGTAAGGAATTATTTGGTTATCAGTAACCCGAATTCTTCTAAAAATAGGCTTTAACTAAAAAATTTATTTTTTGGTTAAACAAGAAACACCTTTAGAATTCAAAATGCTTAGTTTTAATTGGCACAAGTTGCTCAGAAAATGGGAAAATAAATCCTGTTCTATGTTATGCGTTTGTATAAGTAGCAATGTAAAATCATCTGGTGTCGATTTTTCACCAATGTCCTTCTTTCAATAAAATGGAAACTCCTTAGTGTAATCGATTTCAATATATCAGTTTAACTAGAAGAAAAAAAGAGCAAAAATCCTTATAATCTCATAATCAAGGAGAGAAGGCAGTAATAATCCTTATACGGTACCGTCAACAACAACAACAACAATATATCCAGTATTATACTATGCCGGGCTAATCCTTATACAATGCCATCCTAGGCCCTATATAGCATGTGACAAGGCAAGAAAAGCATATCCCATTTTCAACTAGGATATGCTTTACACCTTTTAGTGTATATAACATGCTTGTGTGAATATCAACTAAGTATCGTAGGCACATTGCTCTAGGTTATTCAATCATTTAATTATTAATTATCAGTGACGAACTTAGAAGGTAACTTATGAATTCATCTAATCGAGTAGCGTTGATTTGGATATTATATATATGTTAAAAGATTTATTTAGTAAGTATATATATATATATATATATATATATATATAAAATAGATTTCGAATTCATCGAAAAAGTAGTGATAGAATTCTGATCTCGAAACCGAATTCTACCATTCGAATTCACCTTTGGTTATTACTAGTCATTTTTGATAAGTGATCACTATTCAATAGAGTTTGATTAATCATGATCATATCAATTGTTAACAAGGTAGATAGCTAAACTAAAAATTATTTTTCTTCACCATTAATGGAATTACTATTGCGACCTATGTTTCTATTTTATTATTATTGGTCCTTGTTATAGTTGTTACCCTTCTTGTGTTTTATATCTCATAGCTTTAGGTATCATATATTCATATATTCAATGGACAACTCAAATAAAGAGATACTGATGAGTCTTCACAAAAAGTGCTCAACTGCAGTATTGTCCTGTGAAAAGTTCGTCCAACAAACAATGACTCGAAATGGATTAATTCCTTACCTAACTAATGTTGTGCTTAACCCATTTGAAAGAGTCGTAGCTAAGTCTTTTATCTTTATCCTTTTCTCACTATTTTGGAAGAGTAAGTCTACGAGAATTTCTAATTCTATCCAAATAAATTTATTATTGTTTTTTTTTCTAATTTAAACTACTTCGTGAAAATAAATGAGTCAAACCTATAATCTACTGTCAACGCAACTATGCTGGCTAAAACCAATTGAAGGGGTAAGACTTATAAAAAAGCATTATATACATTCTAGAAGATGAAGTCAAGGCTCAAGATAAAATAAAATTTAAATAAATAAATATGGACAAAATGGAATTGATACGAAATTCCTGCACTATTTCGAAAGCGTAAATGCGGACAAATGGAATTTAAACAAAATTCTATCCTCTGGTAAGTAAATTACAGTAATACAAAGCCACAAACTCACAAAGAGATTCAGAAAAGTCAACTAAATAGGACACCCCCCCCCCCCCAAAAAAAAAAAAAAAAAGATGAAGTAGAAGAAGTAGTACGTAACTAAATACCTCCAATTATTATGCAATTTACCTCCAAATCTTATAATATAGTGATATCGTTAGGTTTTTTGAGTTTTTCTACAAAATTTTAAAAACTGAGTTAAAACATTTAAAAAATATATTTTTTGTAAAGATTTAGTTCAGGCAAATAATTTTTGCAAAAAACTGCTTTGTGAACTCAGAAATTCTAGAACTTCAGAAAATCTCGATATAATATGTATAGTTCAAATTCCATACAGTCTATCATTCCCCGATTTGTCTTTGATCTATAAATTTCTACGTTAACGTTAGTATGACAAAAAAAATTAAAAAAGAAATACGGTAACCAACAACAAATCCTCCAAATCAAACACGACTATCTCGTGAATCGGACGGCCTTGTCACACTCCTTTGACCCGAACAGTTCAAATTTCCCCCAAAAGACCCATTGGGCCCCACTGAGTACTTGGCCCCACCCCTATTCCCAAAGAAAAGGTCAATGACCACCAGTACATGACCCCTTCGTTTCAGACCTGAATAATTAAAAACTATTTTATTAAAGCATTTTATTCTCTTCTTTGATCTTTCGCAGCCCTCGAGGAAAGAAAAAGAAAAGTTTTCTATAAAAAAAGGTTACTCCTACTATTCCAGAATCCAACTCTACAAAAGAATAAAGTGGTAAAATTATTACTATGTTGCTTTTTGTTACTGCTTGTCTTAATGGCAGGATTGAATCTGAATATCCCATTTTTGGCTTGAATTTAAGACATTTATTCTCTAATTTCTTAAATAGTAACATTTATAATAAGCATATTTAAAATAGTCCAAAACAATAACTAGTCTCATATTAATAACTGGTACAATGGTATTCACATTTCTTTTTTTTTGACCTAAAGAAAGAAAAAAGTAAAAAAAAGAAAAGAAGCCCTCGTAAAGGCCAAAGCAATCTAATGTGTCCGATCGTATTCGCACCTAAATTTGACGAGGCAGAAGTTAGATTAGAGTGACAGGTAAGTCACCTACTGTTTACTTTATCATAACATTTTCACTTTCCCTTTCTTTTTCTTTTTCTTATAACCTCACCAAAGCCATCACTTTGACTCTTTATCAACTCTCTCTTCTTCCAATATCCCATAATTCATTGATGTTTCTAGTTGCCCAAATTACTATACTTCTCAGCTTTCCAAAGTAGCTAATTATGGCTGTGGAACTAATGATGGATTACGGAAACACTAGGAATTGTACGTTCGTGACCAAATTGGAAGAAAAAGCAGTTGTACAAGAAGCTTCTTCTGGTCTTGAAAGTGTTGAGAAACTCATCAGATTGTTATCTCAGACTCAGTCTCAACAAATACAGCATCAAAAACAGGGATATTTAAAGCAAAATAACTCTCCTATGGAAATTGAAACGGTGGCAAATGCTGCTGTTACAAAGTTCAAGAAGGTAATTTCACTTCTAGATCGAAACAGAACTGGCCATGCTAGATTTAGAAGAGCCCCTGTGGCTTCTTCTTCTTCTCAAAATCCTACCAAAGATTATGTTGACACTAAAGTGTATTATCCTACTCCGATCCAACAAATACCTCTTGTTTCTTATGAAAATTATAGTCAACAACTCCCTCTGGTTCCAAAGACCATTAGTTTCTCTTATTCTCCGGAGATGTCTCGTACGAACTCGTTCAATATCTCAACGTTAACAGGAGAAACAGAGAGCAAGCAACATTCTTCATCTTCAGCTTTCCAAATTACCAATCTTTCTCAGGTCTCTAATTCTGCTGGAAGGCCTCCTTTGTCTTCTTCTTCCTTGAAAAGAAAGTGCAGTTCATCGGAAAATGCCGTATCTGGCAAGTGCAGTGGATCTTCTGGCCGATGCCATTGTTCCAAAAGAAGGTAACCAAATTCACTTTTATATCATCTTTGGCATTTAGTCCGTTGAGTTGTTGAATTGTAACAATTTTATGTAAAAGCTTAATATGTTAGAGCGCACACCTTTATTTACTTGATTATGTTAAGGGCACAAGCATAATCAGAATTTAAAGTTTAATTAATTGTAGTGTTACATATGATTTTTTTTTTAAAGACAAATATGAACCAAAGTTATTGGTTCGGTCAAATCTATAACTTGGTCTTTGACTCCGCCCCAATCTAGTGTATCCGATTCATTTTCATTAGCTAAATATGTCCCAAATATTTTTTGTAATGTGTGTTGGTGAAACTAATTCAACCTTGGACCTCTACTCGGATACGAATGATTAATTATGTGATTATCTTATTTAAAATCCTAAGTTAATTAGAGAAAATACATGTTTATTTACTTAATTACGTCTTTGATATAGTCTAGTATGATAGTTTTAGTGAAATGAATTCTTAACTTATTTTTACAGGAAGTTAAGGCTGAAGAGGGTAGTTAGAGTTCCGGCAATAAGCATGAAGATGGCAGATATACCACCTGATGATTACTCCTGGAGGAAATATGGACAGAAACCAATTAAAGGATCTCCACACCCAAGGTAATTAATCTAGAGAAAAATCACGTATATTGGATTTTTTTTTAATAAAGCTCAAGTATTTTTCGAAATCTAAATATTGTTTATCCATATATAAACAGGGGATACTACAAGTGTAGTAGTGTAAGAGGATGTCCAGCACGAAAACATGTTGAGAGAGCTTTGGATGATCCAACAATGCTGATTGTTACGTACGAAGGCGAGCATAATCATTCCCTTTCAGTTGCAGAAACAAGTAGTCTCATTTTAGAGTCTTCTTAGTTAGAACAAATTGTAGTGATATTAATATAGCTTTATTTGCCCTACAAAGAAGAAGGGTTTTCCTATCAATGTAAACTGGAGTAATATATATGTTTAGAACTAGTTGAGTCTTTAGTTCTATCTCAAAGGAGATTAAGCATCGCAATTAACTAAGTACTTTATTCCTTGCGAAAGTGCTGGGCTTGCATTTCGTTTTCAATGGATTTAATTTTTAACAATGTTGATGTAAGTAAATTTTATACTTCAGTGTAATTTCACATGTTTAGCATGTCATCTGATTTATTTTTCAGATATTAGTTCCGCATGATGGTCAATTACGTGTAGTTTTATTTAGGTCGACAGTCACGGTGTCTAAACCAATTGTCGTAAAAAGCATAATTAAAGAAGGATTTTTTAGTGTGTATGTGCGACGCGGGGGGGNTTTTGACCTTATTTACTTGTTAATTACTTGGTTGCTTTTGTCCTCGGATGCCTAACTTGCCCTCATTTCTATTGATCAAATAGAGTTAAACATCATCTAATGGAGTAGCTGTAGCTTTTAAAATTTAATTATGGTTAATTATTATCATTATTTTCTTTGGATGGTTTAAATGGTTGATCGAAAGTAAAAGCAAGAAAGTGACTTGGTCAAAAAATGATGATGCCGTAGTGGAGCACCCTTGTTGTTGATGTAAATGGTTGCTTTAGATGTCGTGTTTGGGACGGTTGACTTACCAAAAAGGAATTAAAAGACTCGGAGTTTGAATTATAAGGGAAGATAGGAATTAAGATGGTAGTTGGGAAAATGGGACGGCTAATTTACTTTTGTACTTACCATACTAATGACTAATACTCTAGTAAGGAGGAGAGACGTAAATGGAAACTTGTGTGTTTGCTTCGGAACATGTGGATGTATAATCTCGGATGAATACTTATTTGCACAAGATATTTCACCAGAAAGAGTATGAGTGCATTACTACTTTAAGTTTCAAGCTATATATAATTGCATATTTTAGAAGACACAACATACACATATTAAATATGCATAGATCAGAGACAAGTTATGATCCGAGGTCAATGAGTTTAGAATGAATTTGATTTTATTATACATAAAGGAATAGATTCAACTTAACCACATGAAACCTAAATCTACCTCTAATTTGTATTATTATCTAAAAAATGACTTGGTGCATGAATGCTAGAATATTATCACATACTTGAAATTTCTAGATCCTTTGTTGGTTGAGAATGGGATATGAGACAAAAATGGCTGGCTGTAGTTTTAGAAATAAGACTGAAGTATACTGAAATGAATGGTGTGAAAAGTCTTGAACCCCACGCAAAAAAGGATGATGGAAATCAATGTTTTTGGTTCACAAGTCAAAGAAGAGCAGATGGGGAGATTGAAGAATAGAGTTATTATGGTTCAAAGTATGGGGACCTACCTTTTGTTTTTCTCCTGCGCCCTCTTTTTCTCTTTAATTTGCTCAACGTCAAACCTGCTGATATATCATGCATGGAATTCTAGTGTATGGATGTGTCCGTCCGTGTCAACCTTCGTGGTCATTTTGTGGTCTTATTTTCTGCCCTTCTTTCGTTGATTTTCCCTTGCCACACGCAATAAAAGAATATATACACTTACAATCCATCGAATTTTTAGTGCTATGTCTTATATTTTGGAATATCACTTTTTATGGACTGTTACCCATAGTTATTATTTGGGTGAACCGATATTTAATTTTTTTACACTGTTACGTATAGAAGTTACCGGCCGCATGAAAGAATATAAACCTAAAAATGAGTACAGTTTAAGTGACCAGTGTTCGCTCAACGGGGAGGCCACTAAAGTAATTGCTTTAGGCTCCCCAAAGTTCAAGGCCCCAAAATTGTTTATTTTATTTATATTTTATATATTATAAAATTTATTAATAAAGAGATTAGATTTATACTTTACATTTTGGAATATCCTAGAGGTTATTCGGATAAATAATTGAAATTTATAAGAAACCTGCAATATTTCTGAAAATGAGTAACTTGGTGACGACTTTGCAATTAAAAAAATAAAGCATTTGTTGGAGACGATTATTTCTTATAAAAAGTAGAGTTCAAAATAGACTTGAATTATCCCAAATGAATGAATTTTTTGATATCTACTTATGGTACAAAATTGAGATTATAACATTATAAGATTTATAAAGACACCATCTTAACTGTCAATATATGTTTCTTATAAAATATAATATAAGCCTTACTGAGGTTGAGTTACCGAGTATCTCTAGTGGTGGGACCTAGCAGATAACCGAGTGAATGATCAAGATACATACAAAAAGGTTCGAACGCAATCGAAAACAAACAAGAAACAGAAAAAATATTATATTAGATAATTTAAGGCCTCTTATTAAGATATGGCTTTAGGCCCCAACTTTTGTTGAGCCGCCTCTGTAAGTGACCTACAACAATATGCAACTATATATAGTAACGTTAGTTTTGGTAATCTATACAATAAGTAAACGGCAAAGGTCTAAATATACTCTTGTACTTTCGAAAATGGTTTAAGAATACCTCTCGTTATACTATTGGGTTATCTATACCCCTGCACTCATACTTTGGGTTCAAATATACCCCTCATTTAAACGGAGGAACACGTGTCATCGTCCTACTGGCCAATTCTAAATATCTCCCAATTAATTAAAAAGACCTATTACCCATACCCGAAAAATAATTTTCTAAAGCAATTTTTTTTTTGTAAAAACTGGAAAAAAAAAACTGAATTTGTTTTACTAAAAACTGAAAAAAAAAACGAAAATATTTTTTCTCCAGTTTTTACAAAAAAACTGTTTTAGAAAAACTGAAAAGCAATTTTCTATAGCAATTAAAAACTGGAAAAAACTGAAATGTTTTTAACTAAAAACTGGGGAAAAAAATTGTTTTTTCAGTTTTTGCAAAAATATTGCTTTAGAAAATTGCTTTTCAGTTTTTTTTTTTAGTTTTTACAAAACAAATTGCTTTAGAAATTTATTTTCCGTTTTTTTAAAGCAATATTTTTCTAAAAACTAGAATTCTTTTTTCGATTCTTCAGCTTTTAGTAAAAAAATATTCAGTTTTTTTAGTTTTTACAAAAACATTGCTTTAGAAAATTACTTTTCAGTTTGTTTTTTAGTTTTTACAAAAACATTATTTTAGAAAATATTTTTCAGTTTTTTTTTAAAGCAGGTTTTTTGAAAAAACTGGAAAAAAAATATTTTTATTTTTTATAGTTTTTAGTAAAAAATATTTTAGTTTTTTTCCAATTTTTAAATATTTTAGTTTTTTCCAATTTTTACAAAAAAAATAAAATTGCTTTAGAAAATTATTTTTCGGGTATGGGTAATGGGTCTTCTTAATTAATTGGGAGATATTTAGAATTGGCCAATAGGATGATGACATGTGTCCCTCCGTTTAAATGAGGGGTATATTTGAACCCAAAGTATGACTGCAGGGGTATAGATAACCCAATAGTATAACGAGGGGTAGTCTTAGACCATTTTTGAAAGTACAGAGATATATTTGGTCATTTGCCGATAAGTAAATAATATATGTAACAAACTAAATACATTGAGTACGGTGTAAAAAATTTCATATAAGTTAAATCGTAATAAATTATGCAGTTGAATTAACTTTAGTAACATATAAAATATAATTTGCTTGCAATCCACCCTACTTCCTAAGAAATGATAAGAGAAAAGAAAAACGTGTTTGGTTTTTAAAAGGAGGAAATTAAAGTACATATTAAAATAGGAGAATACAATATTAAAATTCGATCATATATACACTTCGAAGCTGATTTGCTGTTCACAATCTCCATTATGGATTTCTTAATCGTTTTGTATTTGGCACAATGTCACTAATTCTTTGGTGTACACACTAAGCTGTCTTAGCTAATCATGATAGTAGTGGGTAAAGTTTAGAGCCTTGGACTTAAGAAGTGATCTATATATGTCGCTAATCGATGTTCTAACTTTTTTTTTCATCAGTCAATACCCTGCTTTATATTTTGAATTTGTTAATAAGTTTGTATCTTGTTTATGTCTACGGGCAGTGGCGAATCCAAGATTTAAATTGTATGGATTCAACCTTAAGATTTTTAGTATTGAACTCATTATATCCTAAAGTTATGGGTTCATATCTATAATTTATTATGATTTTAGCAATTTTTTTTACATAATTTTGTGCTCCGCGTCAAAAATTATAGATTTAATTGAACCCGATGTTATAAAGTTACATCGGCCCCTGCCTCCGGGGTGAGCTAACGAATATACATGCATACAAGTTTGTTTCGTCTTTGCTCTTTTGAGACCTATTTTTCATTTCTGTCGTCTTCAAATTGTTTTCTGTCGTCATCTTGCAATTATTTTGTATATAATTAATTTTCAGAAGCATGCTGCTTTTATTTCATGGGCTTGCATAGTTCATTCAAAATTTTAGCATGAGAGAGAGGTTCCATCTCATTTGCAGTAAAAAATCACTATGAAAAACTGTTAGTTACAGTAACGATAACAGATAAAGATGTAGGGCTATGCATAATTTGGTAAATATCAAATTATCATATTAAAACAGAAAAAATTGATATTTTGGTATTTGGTTTAAATTATTTTTAAAAACTTGATATATGGTATTCGATATTTAAAAATAAAATACCTAAATATCGATATCGTACCGAAATATATACTAAATTATACAATACATATATTATTAATTATAACATAAATATTAAAGTTCTAAATTTTACTTTCCATTATTTTTATAGTTTTTTTAACTTTTACCACTTTTTTTCCCACTATACTTGTCTTTCCACCTTTTCTTTGGTTGCTTACTTGCGTTTCAGCTTTTCTCCCGTCTAGGTTTAGCTTTTTTGGATTCTATTTTTTTTTTCAATATATTATAATATTTTTATTTTTGTATTTTTGAGTACTTTACGTAAGAATATTATAGTCTATAATTTTATGTAGTAGTTAATATTCGAGTCAAACAAATCAAAGTTAGCAAACCGAATAAATCAAAATCGAACGGAGAAAAGCCGAACCAGGCCGAATTTAATTAGGTATGGTATTGGTATAGCATTTTAAAAAATTGAATACCGAACCGAATTGTCTAAATATCGTACCGACCGACGAACACCCATAATAAGATGTATTACCATTTTAAATTTCAATAGTTGGATATATTTGAATCTTAAAAGTTGAAAGAATTGAATAAAATATACTATGTTCCACTTTATGTGGC